CAGCCTGTAGGTGTTGGGATGATATGTGAAGATATCAAATCAGGGTCACGCACCGTCTGAGACAGGAATGCTAACTGTGCATTCATTCTTGCCGAAGTGTATGGTTCAACCTACACCAAACTCTAGCATGCGAAAGAAAAGGGTTCACGGTCATGTATAGGGCGGTGATGCAAAGTTATGTTCAAATTCATTGAAGAACCGAAAGATATCTGAATACGCGCACAGATCGTACGGAAAGCAGTGTTGTATTCAATTTATTTAATTGTCTGCGTGCTGTACATCATACAAACGGAAATAGCGGAGAATATGTGTGACAAATTATATCAATGAGAGGGTCTCCTCATGCTACGCATGAGTCTAATACTAAATACTCATGTACATACTCGCTTTCAATTGCGAACATAGGGGTCCCTGTTTATCCGCTTAAATTGTAATAGAAAACCCAAACAAAATGACGTTTTTACGTTTCTCGGTTAGCACCTAATCCACAGCCATCTGCCAAGCCATATTAGCCCATCTGCCAAGAAACTTCATCATTCAATGACGGTGCACTTGGCGATACCACAGATATCTTGCAATCATATCCATCCCAACATATACATAGATACACCTTGTAGGTATATATAGGTATCGAATATGCGTATTCTTAAAATTACACAGCTATACACCACCTTTTGCCTTAGCACAAGGTAGATTGTACATAACCATATAAAAACACTCATTGATACATCTGCATCCGAAAATCCTTTGAACCCTAAAATCGATGGGTGCGGTAAAAATAGTACAACACAATAGGCGGACGGAAGCTGGAATATGATACGACGACGCCTCCAGCTTGATAGCTTCACATAGTCAAGGCGCTTCATCAGTACATTCTATTTGAATACAAGAGCGTGGTTTTTAGTATATCTGTTTGTATATCTGCACCAGTTAGTTTCCCAATTACAACACACACACTTGTGCACACAAGCAACATAGACATATACACAGCATAATCACACGACCTTCTTTGGCCAGGCCACCAAGTCAGAGGCGTCGGCAAGGTTCTGTCGCATTGTTTGTCCGTCTATGGTGGTACTAGTGTCCATGATAATCGAATTTCTTTTGTTCCGCTTATTCTTGCGAGCACGAGGTGCTCTCAGAACATGCCTTTCCGAGGTTCGGGCGGCATCGGGTGTGGCCAAAGAATCCATCTAAATGTAGAGGACCAATAAAATTTAGTTTGTATCATGCCGAATATGCAGGACGCGTGGTGATAGGACCATTACCACCCAATACAAACTCTACTATTTCGAGGTTTAATAGTAATGAAAGAAACGGACAATGTATATAATTTGTTATAAAAAAGTCAATTTTAAATATTACAGTTCGAGAACATACTGTCATATGGGATATATACACACATCATAGTTGCTCATATACAAATCAGTGCATACGCACTTACACACACCAGACCACACTTACTGACAATATCTCTCCTTATCATGCAGGGATCGTCCAGAACATTTCCGAGTAGTTAGAGCAATATGTGCATAGGACAGCTGCTGTCACTCATGGGTTTCAATGATCACGGACTGTACTACAAAAATAGACTATAAATATGAATACCGAATGGTCACGGCGTGTACTACAAAAACACATATTGAATATGTATACCTGAGCAAGTCCCATGGTGGTCTCCTGCGTTTCGGCGTTTCCAATGTCGTCAGGTACATGTACCGGCGCAGCAACATCATGATGGTCCATCTGCATCTCAAAATCAACTCCCATGTCCATTGGTTCTAAGTCGATCAATCGGGGTAGGTAAGGAAGCCGTGATGTACCGAGTGTAAGGGAGTTTGGTGTGACATTATAGGTGTTTGAGAATCTGACTGATTATTTTTCTTCAAATTTGGTAGGACATGCTTGTTATTATGCCGTGAAAGACAATATGTCGGTGAAAATGTATTTCTTGGATGAGTGAAAGTACACAGACCGGCTTCGATGAGATTTGATTGTACATACTAGTGAATGGGGCACAAACAGAAAAAGAAAGTTGAAGCAAGAAACTTCTTGCTTTCAATATAAGCAAATGGGAACAATTAAGTTAAATGCACCTTCACAAAAAGAACATGTATGTTGTTATTTTTAGGTGTACGTCATAATTTTTCGTGAATCGTGCACCGTACATACACGATATTAATATATATTCTGAATACAGCACATATCAGAATCAAACAGTAGAGAAAACTGATTTACTGGTACAAATAGAAAACACTATGAACCGTCGATACGGTGTACCTCTTTGGCGTTTCATATACATATCCTTATACACATACATAAACTTGGCATACATACTAAACTTGATACAAAAACATGAACTTAATGCACATACACAAAATCAGCATAGTGTTGAATCAAACAATTTGATAAGATATTTGGACTACAAGCGACCACTTTAGACTACGATTGTCATACCGGACTGGCCTGAAGGACCGGTTGGGGCGCTGAAGTCCAATTCGGGATCGAGTGACAGATCCAGTTGGCTGATAATAGATACGATTGTAACTGGTAAGTAAAATGGGGAAGAGGTGTGTTTTTTTGTATCCATACAGAAGTGTCAATATGCACGAGAAACGTTTATAAAGATTACTGGCATGAAAGGAGTTTAGGGGTGGGGTTACATACATGCGTATAAATATATATTTAAACATACGCTTGCTGCACATGTGTACTTGCGCACTGTAAAACGTATCGTTCACTGACGCTAATATCCTACTGGAAAAGTGCATGTATGTACCTTCGTTTTTTGAGTACATGGGTGCACGCACACGTGCCTACTTCTCCACAAGTGAGCCAATACTAAAGCAATTCAATACCTTGAAATTATGATATCAATATGAATAGAAATGCATATAGTACGATGGCTGACATATTGTGGCGTTGGTAGAATATGAATAGAAATGCATATAAAACGGGGGCTGACGTATTGTGACGTTGGTTGCACATCACCATTCAATACCTTACATCTTCACCTCATAGCGATAGATTTGTAATCAAATTAATATACAGTGTGATTCACATAGTCATAAGGCTCTACCCAGGTATATTAATTAGCCCTTGATGTTTTACTAGCACTGCATTGTGGTCAGAATACGTTGTCCCATTTCGAACGACTTAAAATAGCGAATACAATTTCATGCTCATACTTTCTCAGAATGCTTACTCAGAAAATTCTGCTATGCATACAAATACACGTATTTAAGCAAATGAGTGAAAAATAAAATATAGTACACACATATTCAATCTATTATGTATGACAAAATAGCCACTCACCCCATTGTAACATCAAGGTCCAAGTTCGCCTCCATGTCGAGATTGTGGTGGTCCTGGGTGTTGAGATTAATTTCCTCGTCTCTTGCAGAGGTGATATGCGCGTTGCTATTTGAACCGGTATAGTACGCATCTGTGTTGTGTATTGTGAAGCAGTCATGTCGATCAGTGTATTATATGGTATTCACCCCTATATTCAACGTCCACACGCATAGTTTATAGGTAGCTGGATTAGACGGGTATCAGCTGAAGCGTCGGGCAAGGATTTACACAGAGCGGATGAAGGTGTATATATTCATTTTTTTTTCTCGATCAACAGTACATATCTTGATATTGGGAAGAAGTATAGTGTACGTAAAGTGTGAGGATATAGACACTCACACGTAAATGTACGAACCAATATTTTTGAATGTATATGTGTTGTATCTGCCAGGGTATATAACAACGCAATACCACCAGCACTTCTGTGATCTATGAGCACAGCGTACGAGGCTTGTGCTGTTGGGGTAGGTATGGTAGTAGTGTCGGCAGTTGGTTGTTATGCCCAATACTCACAAGCATGTATATGTTTGTGATTTGTGAACATTCCCAATACACATGTGTTTTTGTCAACAATTCACCCTAATCCATCCTTTCACCCGATAATGTAGCGACTAAGAAACGTGTTGTTGGGTGAGTTTTCTAATACTGGTCAACACATGCATGCATGCGTAGTGGACTATACTTATCCATATCGTATAGCGTCTATATGACATGTGCTGGAGGGTTGAGTACCGTCGTAATGTTAACAATTGCCTATACCTGATAATATGTACAAGCATGTGTGTATGAATTAGTAGGTACACGTGAGCGTATATTCAGTATATACATATAGGTATATCGATGCGTAGTCTTGATTCCTATATTTTCTGACGATGAAGCGTCTCAGGAACGTGCCATGAGGGTGGGAGTAGTGGCATTGGTAGTTGAATTGCAAATGGATTTGTGTGTGGCTGTGTTTGTATTTGCGCATATATAATTCATTCATATGATTGATATTTCTGATCCAGTATATATTACCTGAGAGTGGAGCGTCTGGGACACGTGTCGTTGGAGTGGGCATGGTAGTAGTATTGGCGGTGGACGAGAACAGTTGTGATGTGGTAAAGTGTTCGTCTGTTGCAACATCATCCTGTGTGTCGATGTGACGGATTGATTTAACTACACCTGTATATCAACTTTAATGCTCTGCGAATTGGTGCAATGACGCATTGTCCTGCTATTACAATATCCTATAGCACTCCAATTCGTATAATTCAGAAGTGCACACACACACACAACACAATATATATATACTGTTACGTTTCTTGGCACTTGAACGTGTACATATTTGTATATGAATACATAAAGGAAACTACAGACTGCTGTAGAGTGCGAGGGTGGGTATTTGATTTCACAATGATGATTTGAAAGACTACAGACGAGAATACACAGTCGCTTTCTCTTTCTTTCTGGATTCAGTAGCCATGTATATGCAGTCATGTGAGACTGGCTCAGTGAACAAAAAAATATTGTTCAAGAGGACTTTTACAAAGGCATTTCCAAGAAAGATATACGTGCATTTACATGAAACCATTTCACGCAATAATGTAATATGTATATGAGTGGTCTATATACATATGCCCATATGCGATCAGTCAGGGGATCAATCTATTATATTCGGATGTGCGAATTGATAGATGGACATACCAGATTGATCTCCTCTAACAAGTTGCGCAGCATGTTACCATCCGTAGTATTCAGAGGATGTAGGGTGATGTTATCCTCTCTTTGTTCAATCAATAAATGTAATAAATGTAATAAATGTAATAAAGTAATGATATAGGTTATATGTTAGCTATATATATATATTGTAAGATGAACAATTATATATTCAAAAATGAGAACAAATATGTGTATGTGATAGAACAACATCCAATACCGTATACAGAGTAACAACTGTGCCCAAAATTTAGTAAGGATGTACAAAATATCATACTATGAATGTCTGTAGCCTAATGACTTAGAATAAAAGATGCAAGGAGCGATTGCATGGTGGATGCAGGTAGAAGAGCCTCCTCCGTCCTGGTACAACGTTTTGCCAACCGACAGTAATCAAATGAGATAAACTGTATGTGCACTCTATGCCGAGATTTACTCAATGGCAGATACCGACCTTGTACGTACACTATGACAGGTAGTAACAATGATAATAAGATTCAATCAGACCCAAGAAGAGGATAGTTTTGATATGATTGATTTATGCCTCGAATGGATCGATCACGTGTTACTGGTGCAAAAGCGATAGATATTTACCCCGCTAGGTTATGGTATTTGACAAAATTCAATATGAAAACGATACTGTCACTAATTACCCCCAAATTTCATATTTGCACACGTGTTTCCTTCACATAGGTGTAAATGGTTCCACATCCTTCTCCCTACACACATACGTCATACCTAGCTAAGTCATTCTGCAGTGTGAGCAGGTTCTCGTTTGTGTGTTCCCTCGTTTTCTTCTGCACTTGGCTCCATATCGCACCTGTTTCCGCTGCAGAATTGCAAAAAGACAGGGCAGTATGACAAGGAAAAACATTTCATTCAATTCGGGATATTATAGATAGATACAAAAACGCGGTTATTGATCAAATAGAGACGGCAACTTGCGTGTCCACGCCATCAAACTATACAAACGTGCCTCGATTGTGCTCGCACATGCATTAGGAAAAACCTTGTTGCATGTAGCAGATACCATGGCATACACATAGATTTCGCTGGTCGGGTACATACCCCAAAAGATGATCTGTTGCTTGTTGTAGATTCGAGCCACTCCCACTAGTAGATTGGAGCTCAGTCGCAGTGCCAGGGGCTCCTTGGGATGCATAATATCTTGACTAAGACGCGGCAGTGTGGATTGGTGAAGTGATCGATCCAAATAAGCAGAGGAGTGGGTGCGCATATATTTGCATGCAGGATGTGGTGATTTATAGACCAGTGAGTTTCGATACAGTTCAGAAAAATATTTGTACAGACAATAGGGTGTGTAAAGGTTGTCAGTGTGTATAAAATATAGCGATTTGATGGGCATAGCATGCTCTTTTGGTGGAGTACGAAACAAGCCATAGGGAAAGGGTGAGTTGACACATTGCCCGTAGTGGTTCTAAATAATCTCGCTGAACAATTTGTTAAAAGTGCGAGTTTGGTTCAAGCAGAATATATACAACAGTCAAGTAACTAAGGAGATCTGTGAAATAGTAAACTCCTACGAAGTGTATGACCTGCCTAAAAGAAGCTGCACACAAAATAAAGCGGTAGAGAACGGTATGCTACAGACTGTGCATGACGGAAGGCTTTTCATCATAAAAAAAACAGTTTGTATGTTTCAGCAATACACGCTTTTCACAAACAAGCGATGACGATGCCTGCCTCGTTCAAGGGTTGTAGGTTTGATTGAAGTATGAGTATTTGAATCAAACTCTGAGATGAGAGGCACGCATCGATCTAATGTTTTCAACAGCCCCAAATATACAACTCGCGGTGGATCACTATGTAAGTTGATATGTATCATCAACCTCTTTCATACAACAACAACTAACTGATTTGCACAGCCACTTTCCCTTACACGAATTAAAAATATATATCTATGTATTCTTACAAAATCGTGCAATTTTCTGAGACACCCACACTCAAATAATATACAGGCTCTTGCACATACAGCACATACACACCGTTATACAATTCATCGCATTCACACGTACGCTCCACCACATGCAAACTAGCGTACAAACCAGCGAACACATAAATAAACTTCAGCATACGTACACTAACATACCAATCAACACACACATGTGTAAACTTAAGCATATACTTAACACACACTCTCAAACACACACGCGAACACGTCGCCGATTTTAAACTGACCATAGCGCTGGGAGATTCAGGTCGATGATCTCTCTTTTGGAGAACTTGGGGCGTCCCGTCTCGTTATTGAAGGAGGCAAAAATCCTAAAAACAGAACAGCATATGAATGGCGACTACAACTCATCCAAGAATAATGGAGAGCGAATCCGCTCGCCGGCATTTCTACCAGTAGTGTCAGGATATATCCAAGCCGTATTTGAAAGTCGACATGTTCCTCGTACTACACCACGCGACCGCACGAAGTATCATGATGATACTTAAATCCCGCACTCCTAAATAACATTCCCGTGAGCTTGTCCTTTTTCAACACATTAAGTGGCTTCACAACATACTCCTACGTAGCCTTGGACACACTCCTAAGTAAAACCTGATAATTCTGATTGCGGTCTTCGATACTATTTAATGAAGTAAGTCCGGTCGACAACAAGAAGTGACTAATTGAAATATAGGGCACGTGTGACAATGCTGATCAGTCTATCTCAATGGTGACAAGTGTCATTATAGACAGTGTTGGCGTACATAAGCTCTATCCATAGCGGCATACGGTGAGCTTTCGAAGGATTGACACTGCAGCAAGGGCATCATATACAACCGAAGCCACGACACTTCTGGCGATACAATGTTATTTTCATGTAATATTGCTCGTGTAGTTGGCTAGTAGGTCTGAGACTATCCTTTATATCTAGCATGACAAGTAACCAAGCGCAACATCAGCGCCACAGCAAATCAAACTCGTTCCCTGCACGAGCGCTGACAAACTGTAAACACCCCCATCCCCTGGACAAAGTAGATAATTTGCAATACATGCTCATCTGCTCCTGGACCAGAACCCGAAATAAGCACTGGGGATACACAACATAAGCGTACGAATACGATACCGTTTAAACAGTGAAAGCCCAGGTTTCGCCTTTATATAGTCTTGCCTCATGGGGATTTGTGCTTACTACATACCCAAACAAGCAAATAACAGTGCCGGGGCATATACTAACAGTATATCATTTAAAGCATGTGAACCAAGTCGCTACGATTTATTGGTGAATTGGATCATAGTGAATATGCAGAGGATACACATTTCAAGACGAGAAACAACCCATTATACACGCAAAAAAGGGAATCAAACGCCCACTTTATTGGCTACAACGAAAGTCCTTGACTGGACTGAAGCCTCGATTAATTTTCTACCACGAAGATATCAAACGAATAGCTAATATGTGTATACACTACTCTCATGAAGGTGTGTACTATACATGATGAGTGCAATATGATGTCATTCTGTTGTAAACGAATGCGTGTGACAAATTCATGAAGTGCACTGGGCGAGTATGGTTGACGTACGTTTTCCAATTTTGCTGCAAGTAGTAACTATCCTCTACTACTAATTAGCAGAACGATAAGGGTATTATTATCGTGCGTAAACCCCCAAAGACGGACAAATCCGATACAAGTTGCAATCCAATAGATGCGAGCATAAAGCTGTACTTCTATATTCACATCATAAAGCGGTTCTCTCACGTATACAGACTACTATTATTTATATATATACACTGCATTGGTACTCACCAAACAAGACCAAACTTGCCACCTTTGTGGCTCAAGATGTCAGCGGAGAAGAACATATTGAAATCCCGAAGGTGTACGTTGACCTCAATAAAACACACTGACGCTCGATGCAGACTGTTAACGTTTAACTCTCGGGTATGACAATATACGATGCACGGTCGATGCCAGATAAGAGAAAGTGAGGTGGACGGATGTATGGACGGATATTTATTATATACAAATACATATACCATATAGTACTGTCGCTGTCTTGGCTGAGAATGTCCGGTCACAGAAGCAGGCGATGTCCGTTGAGTACATAATTTACATAGAGAAAGAGTGCGAGAGTGAAGATACTCAACTTTCGTGTGAGCTGTTTATAAAATATAAATACTGTCCCCGGCACTGCACTCTGCAGTCATTTGCGTAGTAGTAGGGGTAGGGTGGCTGAGAAATCTAACCAATCCGATGCATGCACTAGGGTTCTAGGGCTCTACCTGACCGGTAAATTTTAATTCATAGCCTCCTGAAAATAGAGGGGGTATGTACTTCAGTCCACCGCTGGAAAGCTCTTCTTTTAAAGTAGCCATGTCACATATGGCCACCGTGGATCAACCTATGTTCTCTGTGATACGGAATCCACCAATAAACTTGTAAAATGGGTTCACGAACTTCCCCTTCCGCTTTCACACCTCTAGCTATATACATATAAATGCTATATTAAATGCTAGGCTTTATCTTCCTCATCATTTGGGCCGAAAGTATGTACACCGTTGGATGATTCCCGAACTCAGAGTTTGTAGTCAAACTGATCTATTGGCCGATACGACGCGAGTCTACCGAGGGTTGGCACATCCCGGGCATCTACACGACCAAAGGAATTTTGTTATCCACGACTACTGTTATCATATCAATAGATGGCATGCGGAAAATATGCTAACTCTCCGAAAAGGACTGGATGTCAAGTGAGTCTTCGCGTATAGGCAAGTGGTATAAAACCACATACATTCATCCCTCGAGTATGGTGGCTTGTCCCTCTATCATCCAATGTCGATTGCATGTAGTACTGATATGTTCGATGGGAGCACTCCTTTATGTGTCGATGACGGTGTGCGATGCGCAATCGCGTGAGATGTGCTCTCATCTCATCTCACAAGAGAAGCAAGTATTGACTACATATAACCTAACTGATATATATACGAAATAGTACTACTTATCATAGCCTTCTGAACTTCAATAGCTAACAATACGTAAATTACTGTATGTGATTTCTTTTTGCGGAAACACAATGATGGCCAGATTTTGTATACGGTGTCGCACTCGTATGTAATTCGATTTGATACAATCGTTAGTGCTTATTTGACGGCGCAATAGGGTTGGGTGAGCATATAATAAATACCTACACCCGATTGACCTCACAATGGGAGACTGTCGTTTCCTCCTATGAAGTTCTATCAGGTCCAACGTACACCAGGCTTGACAAGGGTAGCATAAATAGCCTTAGATCTTTAGTATGTCGGGTAATAATAGCCTCCTTTGTTGCTTTTCAGGAACCTATGAGGTATTTCTAGGTTCTGGTACGGAACAATCTCTACAATACAAAAGTCAATTGAGCTTATGCCAAATGCTCCATATGTGCGAAAAGTCGAACGAAATTAATATCCTTTGACATGGTTTGAACACCTATCCCAACCAGAACACCGCTTTGGTCCTCCAAGCTATTCAAGGCCAAGAGAAACAAAACAAAAGACTCATTAGAACGCGCAAGCTGTGCGTGGGCTACGACGCGATGCGCCCGCATGTTTTGCGAGTTCAAGCGACGGCAATACACTTGAACGCGGCACTGGGTAGGTGTTGTCCATACCCATTCCACATATAGGGTGATATAGGGTGCGTACAACCCAGACTATGTGAGAGATGAGAGCAGCATGTTGTGAATATTCCAAACCGAAATGTGTCGGTTTTCACGGGATGCTAACGGATACGACTTTCTCACTGTGCGATTGAGATTGGAAGTATGTTTAAACGGGTTTATTCAAACTGGGCGTATAATGTAATTTCGCACAGCTTTACGACACCCGGACCATAGCAGAATCTATTTATAGATTCTCAAGCATGGATGATCTATTTATAGATCCCAGACTACGATCTTGCCGTCCTTGCCGGATGTGGCGACCCGACTGTAAGCGCCAACCTCTCCGGCAAAGGGAATCATGTGTCTGTGATGATAGTGTAACAGAGCAAACAATTAATTATGCATGTGATGTAAGCGATGGTACAATTTATCACGTATATGAGCATATGATATAAAAGATAGTACAATTCAGCACGTATATGAGCATATGATGTAACTGATGGTACAATTCAGCACGTAGGTGATTCTGATGAACATTGCAACCCTAAAACCGAGCACCTATATTGATGTGACTGAAATAAGTCACTATGCGTGAATCTGGACATACACATTCGTTCGACCGACACGACCGTTCATACGACAAACACAACAGAATTTGCACTTCCGATATGACGCCGTGGTGCTCGGTATCCCGTCCAGACTTATCTGTACAACCAGCACTTGCAGATGCTTGAACGTGCACATACAAACGGTACGGCCAATACGACAAAAGCTACGTTACAGCACGATAGTGAACAGTATCGAGTAGTCCTATGCGTGTTACCCTTCGCATCAATGAATTTGAACTCAGACATAGACACACATAGGACACTTCAAGTTCGTTCGTACGACAAATACGACAAAAGCCGCACTTACGTCACGGCTCCTTGGTGAACAGTATCGAGTCCAGTCTTATCCGTGTTACCCTTGGCATCCATAAGCTTGAACTTGGACATGGCCGAGTTCTCCTTAGCTTTGACCACCTTAGCCTCGTCGAGAGTGCCGGTTTTCTTCCTACAATATATGAGGTGGCATGACGGGTTAATACCATGAAAAAGTATACGCATATTTACATACAATCTTACATACGTACCTACATATACATACACACACACACACACACACACACACGTGTACACACACTCACACACACGTGTACATACACACACACACACACACACACAAATATATATATATATATATATATATGACCTAATATCACACGCACCGAAAGATTTTACGAGTGTGCGATATATACACCACACAAGTACTTTAACTGCATGTACTGCGACGAGTGATACGAACCAAAGCAATAACTTGTGTATATACATATATAGGGTTGCATATATACATATAAAACATATACAACTATAACGTATATACATATATAGGGGTATACATCAACTGCCAAACACTATACAGATACAAACTCTAAGAGAACTATATTATACACCCACGGTACGCTTCATATTGACTACAGGTTGGTATGCACATGCGTGCCTACTACGCAATAGATTCATACCATTTGCCATCGGTGTCCGTGTAGACAGTTGGCGCGGGATCGTTCCCGACACAAATGATCGAATTTTCGGTCGCAAATAGTATGCGGACGTGTGGGAGTCTGCCAAAGTGACAAGAGAAGTTTACATAAGCATTTTGGGGTATCGTATATGCCTATGTACGTATATTTGTGTTATGAATGTTGACCTATATAAATATATTATAAATATATAAATGTGAATATAGATACAAATACATAGATTTAGATATAGATATAGATGTATAAATATATGACCCTGAAATCGCAAAACCCTAAGACACATACGCTGCGATGGGTGTGCTGACGACGGTATCCAACGCAGCCGAGTTTACGGCGCAGATAGAACTCGCATGGGAGACCCAGGCAAGCTTATCGCCCGAAGGCGCGAAAGCCACAGAATGCACCCACCCACTGCCAGGCGATGCAAACTCGTGCAGCAAGCCGCTGTGTGTGTACAGTAGACAACTCATGCTGTGAGACGACGAGTTGTGAAGTGAAGTGAAGTGAAAGATAACAGCATTGTTAATTTCATAGACCTTTATGTTTGTATTTACAGGTGGGTGCGGATTGATTGCAGGCGAAAACTAGATGATATTCGCATGGGCCGATGTTCTGTTAGACTCGTCGCCTGATACAGACACACCCGTGAAAAGCCCTCATCCACTACAAGTGATGGGATATTGTGCACTAGGCCAATGTGGGTGTTCCTTTGTCTTTTGGGTGCATGCGTCCGACAACAGATGAAACATTAGAGTGTCAACGAGATGTGACAGTCATTCGAGACGCTAAACTTGTGGTCAGCGAGAGATAGGTGTTTAATGAGCTAGCTAGATGGTGCTCGCATATATTAACACCCTGGTAGGTATATCCTGAACGCATACCCTAATGCAAACAATGCAACACATGTTACTCACTGCCAGGTATGTAAGCTAGTGTGACGTATCACACACATATGATAAGTCAACTGTACGTGTCAAGCTATGCGTGGGGCAAGGGTTGGGTAGTCGAATAGGTACTAACCTTAAACTCTAAAACCAAACATATACAAGCACACGTAGACATTCATGTATACCAAAGCCAAGGCAATTCACAGACACACACCCGGTACTCTTGTCTTGCTACCGGGAGCCCAGGCTAAGTCGGCCGGGCGTTTGTTCACACCCCTGATTGCCGCGCCAAACAAGGCGCACCTTTAATGCCATACACTTAATAGCTACCAACAGCTTATAGTAAAGCTAAGTCACAAACTACAAACACACAATACCCTACGTACTATATGTGATCCCTAGATGAGATAAATTCATATGTGCAACCCTGCAGCACTACACAGACTACACACCCGAAACTCTTGAGCTTGCTACCGGGAGCCCAGGCACAGTCGGCCGGGCGTTTGTCCACACCCTTGACTGCCGCGCCAAACAAGCGCACCTTAAAGTCCGATGACCCAATCGCCACTATGAGATTGTTGGGATGCCACGCCACACATGTGGTGGTGGAGCGGATGTCTTCTTTAATGTGCCGAGATACCCACCAGTCATTGTCTTCTTCGAAGTTGCAGATACTCACCATACGCGCGCCCGTGCAGACCTGGTAGGTAGGTGGGTTAAAATACACGGAGTAGATCTATAAATATACAAGCAGGTTTGGTTAATAGGCATATCTATATCGGTATGAAGGTCAGCGACAAGCACTGGTATTGAGTGTGCAGCCAGAAAGTGGAGGCCTGAAGCAGTCCTGATGACAAACCGTACAATGATGTATTTGAGAAGGACTGTATGCCTCAACACGTGTAGACATTATACAACTGTATGACAAGATACTTGTGAGAAGCATACGCGTGGAAACATCGTTAAAACATAGACGCTCACATAGACCGGAATTTTGCTTCAAACTGCCCCTTTATTGAATATATATGTATACTACGACGCCGTGTGTTTATATTTGTGAGAAGGATGTCATGCCTACTTGGACAACACTATATAAGCTCTCATAGCTCTGAGTTTATTTTTCAGATAATAATAGATAATAATTGTATATGAGATACATTCTCAACACTTTCTGGCGAGACAAAATAATCTGCTCATTTAAACATATACATATATATATATATACATCCAGCCGTATAAGGTAGTTAGAGGTGAATGAACAAATATGAGTAATCGAGCCTATTCACGATATAAAAAGAATCGTTCATATGAATGCATGGCTACATAATCACACCTCTAACTCTGTACAGCTTTGTTCTACTACATAGGCATTAACACTAAAACCATATACGTTAACACATCCGCTACAGAGTCATTCTTCGCAAGCATACCGCAAACTTGTCCTCCTTAGGTGACCACTTGACGTACGTGCAAGCCCGGTTCACTCGTAGCAGCACCAGTGTTGGTTTCCATTCACCGTCGGTGTTAACCCATACGTAAGCGTTACGATCTTGTCCGCATGTGACGATGCGATTGGTCTCCGGGGCCCAATCGATGCTGGTCACAGTTTGACCATGCTCAGCTAGAGTCCCAGCTATATGAAGGGAGTAGGGTTGATATGTGTATCAGAGTAAAGGTATGTCAATACATATGTACCACCTATTTCATGTGCACTTCGTTATATACAGAGGTATATGATTGAGTAGGGCAATTGAAAAAAGGATGTGTACAGATACGAGACGAGTTGTAAAATGATGCACGCACAGTATATACATATATATATAAAATATACATATATATATATATATATATATATATATATATGTGTGTGTGTGTGTGTGTGTGTG